TCCGTTAAAAGGTTCTTTGTGAGGATCAATCCAGACATGGGAACAAAATGCCCTGCAAAACTTGGTACAAGCCGCAAGACAGGTCGTGTCGTAAAGAGGAAGGTTACAAGCATCAGCCCTCGGATCACCACCTTCCTCCAGCGGCTCTCTGAGTTTGAATGGAGGACTTCCAACTAGGTAAGAATACAGAGATGATAATATCTTTTACATAGCTGATAATTATATACATACTGTACACACATCCATACAACAGTATGAATGATCTCAGACAGATGTGAACAAGTGAATAACCTGAGCAAACATGAATATTGATGATGTGTCTTTGACAGGTGGTGATAAAGACTACGCTGAACCCGACCATCCTGGTAACGGAAATCTAAATCCCATGTCACATTCTATTTCCTGGGACCCACTGATAATTATTACATTTTGTAAATGATTTTTGTTTTACAATTGTAATAGTTTATTTAATGTTCATGCTGGTGGGTTTGTCCTGTTTTTAGTGGAATAAAAAACTGTTTTCCTTAAAAAAACCAGACACAGAAAGGTGAAGGACTGTGTAGTTTTCATGTACGCTTCTATTTATTTTGGTTATTGACATTGTTTTTATTCAGTTGAAAAATGTTTTTCTTGTTAAAAAAAAAATATCAACAATAAATGTTGGTTTGATTCACTATTCTGAGACTACTTTATTGAATTATATTGTTTTTTGTAAATGTTCTTATATTGAATATGAATGTTAATATTATTTTATATGCTGTAAAACACAATTACAGTCTAAACAAATTATAATGTACACAATTACAGTGTTATACCATAAACCACATTTGCAGTACAGTGATACTATAAAACTTAATCACGGTAAGTCTTTCTAACTGTAAACCATGTTTACAGTAAAGCTGCATTACCACAAACAACATTTACAGTAAAGCTGTTATACTGTAATATATGTTTACAGTAAAGTGGCTGAACTGTAAAACATCACAACAGTAAAGATACTGTAGATCAGTAATTACAGTAACTTACTGGCAATAGTGTTGCCAGTAAGGTACTGTAAAAATACAATAAAATGTCTAACAGTGTAGGCTTTTCAAAGCAGTGATACGACGATTCAGTTGAAGAATAAATTTAGCTAATGCGCTGAAATCCACTCATTTCTTTTGTTACTAGATATGCCATCTATTTACAGATATCTTGATACAGAATTATACAGGTTATATATATATTACAATAAAGTTCCTGCATGCGTACAATATGTTCAAAGGATCAGTGAAGTTTCCTTTATGTCGGGAAAATGCTTCGAGAACTTTTTAAGAAACGAGTTATTAAGAATTTTTTTTTTTTTCTGGTTGGGACTATATTACGTAATTTTATTTAAAATAAGGGCACATTGAAAAAGAAACTCTTGAAACAACAATTACATAAATCAGTTGAATAAAAGAGTTTCGTGTGCAATCTTTAGTATTCTACCCACGTCTGCCGCACTCTTCCCACCTAAGCCACGGCTGTAAGTACTGTTTTGTATAGAATTACGCAGAAAAAATCTGTTAACAAGAATGACATTATATAACATTACATCGAACAGAAGTAAACAATTTTTGAATTAACAGACTTTACCATTACATTTGAGTCATTATTCGTAAAAGTCGTTACGTAGTGTTGTCGACTAACGGATTTTGAAGAATAACTGACGTTTGTTTTTGGATTTGTTAAACATTTCATATTTCGTATGACATAATTTTGTTAAATGTCGTAATAGCACGAAAACCTTTTCAGTTAAAGATTTTCCGCGGGGTTGCCACCGGTAACATTGTGCCTGTGTCATGGAGAGGAGGTGGCGACATCTTTTTCTGACCGTTTTCGTTTTCCATGGTAAGGATTCTTATTCTTATTAATCACCTATTCCTCTCTTTTCGTACTCTTATTACTTGTTTTACACATTTGTAAGCTATTTTTGTTTTTAAGAGTAACTTGTTATATAAATTATATATTAGTCTATTCATGCATTAGTGTAAAACTTGGAGACTTGACAGGGTAACTTGGACGTGAATTGAAAAAATTAAAATTAAATTGATAATCATTTCCTGTTATATGATGTGTACAGTATTATATAAATTACATTAATGTAGCCTATATAGTACGTACTGTACATTGGTGAGTGAAATTGATCATGACCTGACCCTCTCTAAACACATGAACATTTTGCTCCACTAAAACTACAAGATGATTCATTCAGATGGAAAAAGATATGCTAAAATGTCACACATACACTTAAATGTGTGACATTTTTCATGAACAGCACTAGATAATTTAATTGCGATACAGCTGTTTAACCAAATTCTATTCATGTGGTTTTTATTTTTCTCAAGTTATACTCAAAGTATTTTTAAATAAATCATTGACAGTATTCATTGCTAGTAATTTGCTGTTGGGAGTATTAGTATTTAACATATAACAGAAATATTAATTTCCATTGTATTCCTTTATTATTTCTGTCACAAAGAACCTGTTCCACTTGGTTTATGAGTCCTCATGAACAACAAGTTAAAAAATGGCAAAAGTATGATGACTTAGCTTAACAGACAGTACATTCCTGCTTGTGCATCATAACAAATGCTTACCGGTCATTTGTTGCGGTGGCTGGGGACTGACTAATCCTCCCCACCTCAGATGGTAGAACATGAATGTCCTTCTCACTCATTTGGTGGTTGTGTTTGAGATATCTAGGTAGTTAGATGTAGTGTATTGTCTTCAGCCACTTTTATTTTGTTCTGCGTAAGGAAAAGCACAGTGCTTGTAGCTTGAGGTACAGTAGATGCAGGTTTTTGTTTGTTGTTTTAGCAAAATCTATGTCCAATGCTAATTGTGTCTCACATCATGTGTGTCTAACTGCTTTAAATAAATCCCTTGTTCTTTACCATAATACCATAATTATATAGCTACACATGCATTATGTCCCAGCTCAACCCAACACTGAAAGGTAACACTGAAAGGAATCATAGCTTCCAAGCATTTTCTCTTGTGAGAGAACTCATTTTCTCATTGTAGATATTTAAAGACACATTATTAATGCTTTATTGGTAGATTTTCCATTAATGCTCATGATGAATTTACGGAGCCTTATAGCAAACATATGGTGTGATATCAAAACAAAAAATCAATTGACAAATCTATAATAAGATCATGGGGAAAAATACTGCTTTGACCAAATCGGAGATTGAGTTATTTGACTGAAGTACCTAATCTTTTCTTCACAGAGACGCTGGGATTTGGCATCAGAAATGAACACCTGGGAAAGTGTTTGCAGCTGCAAGTTTCCTGGTCCAGGGGAGTGACACTCAAAGAATGTAGCCCTGGTTCAGCACTTCAGGAGTGGCACTGGGACCCTGAAACCCTGGTTTTGCGCAGTCTGCAGACAGGAGAGTGCCTGAGCACGTCAGAAGCACCGGGGCACGTGAGCATCCACTTGAAGAATTGTGGAACAAACAGTGAGGAGAGGGAAGGACAGGTCTGGACCTGCTCCAAGAAGGGTCACCTCACTCTGCAAAGGAGCCGGTTGCACCTCAGCGCACAACACGACAAAGTCTTCCTCACCAAGGAGCGTGGCAAAGGAAGCAAATGGAGGACAATGAGCAATCGTACTATCTGCAGTGAACACCAATGGAATGGACATGATATACGCGTAACACAGAAAATTCTTCCTTTCGAGTTCTCATCTTCGACTAGCAGCATTAATACTTTCCTGCAGCAGAGTAAGATCTAGAATGTCATCACCCCCTCAATGACTCAGTTTTTACTCTACAGACTCATCCTTCAATGTTAGCAAACTAAAGGCATTTCATTGCAAACATCAGAGACATTTGGATGGTGGCACAAAAACTCATACTGGCTTATGAATGCTTGCGTTTAAATTTACCTTGGGATATTTTTTTGTGCTGAAATTTGTAAATCAATACATTTAACTTATTTTTTTTCTTGGATATTACCCTTGCAGACTCAGTGGAAGATGGACTGGCTTTCCCAAAACCCACTAAGATGGACTTGGACCACATCAGTCATTCTCCCAGAAACTCAGGACCTGAAGATTCTTCAAGGCCCTTCCTTAGTCAGGAGTATGGTATGGATGATACGTCACATCCTTTAGAATGTTTTTGTAATATATTCCATGGTAGTAAAAGCAGTCCGGGATTCTGAAACAGGTGAGCCCTGCCAATTCATATATATGGTTTCATTATGTTTTTCATTTTAACAGGTTTAACAAGACGGTGATGAATTGCAATGGAAAATGACGAGTCACAATGCTCTTGTCATTTTTTCTTTTAATATGTTAATGTGACCATGGTATACTATAATTCTGGGTGGCATTGTGGCCTTACACCCCCAGGGTTGCGGATTTGTTTGTTTTTGTGGATTATGTTCACCCTGTTTTCCAGTGGACTTCCTCCACATACTTCACTTTCCTCCCCCATTCCAAAGACGTGGAGCTTAGGTGAAATAGTTGGTGTCTCTGCTTCTATTTTCATTAGTATGTGTAATGGACTGCCATCCTATTCAGGTTGTGATTCGTTATGAGCTGTGATTCAGGGGATGGATTCCAGGCTTGCCACATAAGTGATAATAAATAAATTATTAAAATAAAAGAAAAAAGATAGTTTGTACTATGGTTAATCATGGGGTCTTTTTATACTTAATTTGGGGGTTGGAGTGGCCCATTAGGTGGTAATGATGGTGGATGTTGTTACTTGTAGGTAATATTTAGATATATGTTTTGTTGGCTTTGTAACAGTACTCCATATCATTCATACTCTCACTACTCAAACACAAAAGAAATTAAATCAGAGTCATCTAATATCCATCCATTTCCTGAACCCAACTGTCCCATTCAGGGTTGTCAGCACATCATGGGGCATACATGCAAAATTTAGTATCTCCAATTCACCGGAGCATGATTTTGGGGGAAAACCAGAGTACCCACAGGAAAACCCACAATGACATGCGGAGAACATGCAAACTCCACACACAGAGCCATGGCAGTGACTCGAACCCTGAGGCAACCATGCTGACCTAATCAAAATATCCACACACGTTTTTCTTTTTTTAATTTTCTTTCGGTAATGAATCATGTGACTATTTTATACTAAATAAACATACACTGATATTTCAATAAGTCATTATATATGTACAGTACATACTCTCATACATGCATTTGGGAGATGTTAGTTTACAAATTGCAAAAAAGTAACAAAGTGCTTGTTTAGGGGACCATTAGTAAAATTGTTTTTCTGACCATGGGATTTAAACTGGCAACCTGCCGGTTATAGATACCACAGAGCCACATGCCTCTCCACATGCACATGGTTATGAGTTTTACTATAAAATACAGCTCTGGAAAAATTTAAGAGACCACAGTAAAATTTTCAGTTTCACTCATTTCTCAGTTTATGGGTATGCCCCTGTGTAAAATATTATATTTTATTATGGCTCATCCCTGTTTATCATTGATGAAGGGTTTCTCTCTTGCTTTATGAGTTTTCAGACCTGCTTCTTTTGTCCTAGCACTGCACTTCACACCACTTAATGTTTCCCATTCTTTTTGAAGGTGACTTGAAGTCATCTTGTCATCTTTCAGTTTATGAGGCACTCATAAATAAGTTGACGGTCATCTCTGGCATTCAAAAGTTTCTTCTGCCCTCTACCTTGCTGGTTTTTTGGTTGTTCCCAGTGTCTTCTGCTTCACCCTGCTGTCTTAGAAACTTTCAGCCTGGATGCAGGAAACAGCCTGCCTCACAGTGCACCCTTCTGCAGAATCAGGATTAAACCAGGATTTTAAAAGGCAGATTTTTTAAAAATATAGAGTGGTCTTTTATTTTTTTCTGGAGCTGTATGTCATTCATCTCCAACTTTGCACAGAGTCAGTTTAATTTTCAGTAATTAAAAACCTCTTTGCATTAATTTAATACACATTAATTGCAGCTTTGACATCCCCAAGTCTCCCCTGTCCAGGTGCAGTATTTGATCAGTTCATTTCTAACGACCGCATAGCCTTGCAGCTCGTATAGTTTCTGTCATTCTTAAATACATACTGTACACTTCTATACTGTTATCATAATCTTTTCTCTCTGAAAATATTTTTTCCCCAAAAGGTGGCAGTACAACAATAGAAGAAGCCGAACAAAGCTGTATGAGTAGGAGACAATGATTTCATAATTTTTCAATTCGACTTTCAAACCATTGCGTGTTTGGTCTGCAGGGCTGACCTGGAAAGTGACCATGCTGGTCCTCAGCTCACTGGCTTTGGTTCTTGGGGTGATTATTCTTCTTCTGAACATCCATTACAACAGGTGTGAGAGTATTAAACTATAAATATATAATATTATGTGAAAAGTGTATTTTTTTTCCAAAAACACATATTTACTAGACAAATTTTAATATTTAATATGCTTTATAAAACCATTGAATAGATTAAAAAACTTCCCAATATAAAGTTGCTTCTTTTCCTCAGTAACATATATTGGGCCCATGTGCTTCTGCTATGCTTTTCCCAGGAAGAGGAAGATACTTTGCGTACTCAGGTCTGTCACTCCGAATGAGACGGGGCCTCAGCAGGGCTCCCCAGTGCCCAATGAGAGGGCTCCCCTCACCCAGCATCCCATGCGACCTGGACACTCCTCTTCCCTACAGCGGGGTGAGATCCTGATTGAGTGGAAGGACGGGAGCATCACTCCACTTTTTGAAAACAGTACTTACATGACTGAATGATTGTAAAAGTGTCCCAGCAGCCAATTTGTTACCTTAAGCTATTTAATTACATATTTAGGGTAGTTTCTGTAATCTTTACAAACGTTTTTCTTAGTACCAAGGAGCATATTTGTTACAGTTTTTGGAGGGAATTTAATCTATATATAACAGTGAAACGATGCCCCAGTATCTATTAAAGTGCAATGTTTATGTAGAAGAAATAGTAACTGTTCCATCCTACATTCTGGTTGTTTTGTAACGCTGTATTAGAGAGGGTTATTAAAATTTATGTAAATGTACATAAATAGATGTAACAAATGTGTAAAGTAGGCCAGTTGCTCCTATTTCAACACCTTGAAAAATCAACTTAAATAGTGATTGTGACTCAAAAATGACATGTATTTTCATTTAAAGGGCAACTCTTTACAAAAGGAAATTAATTTTTCACTACTTAAAAATATAGTGTTTTAAACAGCTGCTTTAAAAAAAAAAAAGTGTCACATACATTTTAAAAGTGTAAGGCATCTATTTCAATCTCAAAAACAACAGTATTAATCTTTAAAATTTTAAATAACATAGTCTCTATTGCAATGCAATTTAGTCATATTTATCTATGTTAGATATACTGAAAAATATTTGTGACCTTTATTAAGATTTTTGTAGTTATATTATAGCAGTGATCTTCTTTTCAAAATATGATGATTTGTATTATCATCATGGTAGTTAACAGGCAAACTAACATTAGAGAGGCATTTTTAATTGTTATTACAACAATAATAATAATAATAATAATTATTATTATTATTATTATTATACACTGGTGCTACTAGTGCAATTATGATTATAATAAGATGAGAATAGGCGAGGGGATTATTGACTTACCATTAATGTATTATGGTTTATTATGAGTTAATTGCAGTTTACAATGGTATTGTATTGCATAATACTTCATCACTAACACTGTGTATGGACCTTCATTTTCCAAAATAAGTTACTCCACAGAAATAAATGGCTATTAGGTTGTTTTTAAGAATGCACACATTTTAGTGAAACCAATTCTATTGTTTGGGATATTTAACAAGTAAATTCTTAATAAATACACCATTATTTATTATTAATAAACACTTTTAGCAACCAGGTATGTGGAAATATAGTACATATTAATCATTTAGAATTTTTAATCCTTATTTTAATTAAAAGTATGAGGACAAAGTAAACAGATTTAAATTGATATGCAGTGAGACAGCAGGTGTGAACAAAACAATAAAGGAATTTATGATGGACTGATGCAGTTTATAAAAACAGGTAATCTTAAATTCAAATTTCAAGCTAAATATTCCAGAAATACAACAAACGTAATCAGTTTAAAGTATCATTTTTTGAATATTCTTATGAAGTGGTACAGTATAAACAATACAAGTTCACTCTATGCGTCTCATTTATGTTTTGAAAAAAACATCAGGTGGTACGGTTACAAAGCCAATGGTTGAAAATCCTTTTATGCCTCTCAGTGTTATAGTCTGTTCTAATGAATGTTGTGTCGCTGCAATAACAAAACCTACTCCTCAGGATATGTTCCTAGAATTCTTATTAAGTAAATAATACCAGAGCATTTGTGTTTACTCTTTTTTTTCTGAAGCTACAATAAAGGGTGTGTCATCATGCAAGGTCTGTTAAGTCTGGATTTTTGAGTGTTTTTGTCCTTAATTGACATAAGAAGCAAGACTTGCGTCAGCATTGTTTAGCCTTGTGTTATAAAACCAGCTTTTGCAATCAACTTCTATTTACGCAGCATTGTCATAGTAATTTACAATTTATTTTTATGTTTTCTGCACTAAAGAAAATTAGAAGTTTATGCACTACACTCTCCGAAAAGGAATGCAAGCCTACTCTTACCAGATGGAAGCCTTTCTCGAACACCAGTTCTCACTGTATCACATTGGATGGCAGCATGTTCAGTTTGGAGTTATGGTTTTCATTTATTCACACAAACTCTTCCCAAGATGGTCATAAATTTGCACATATGCTGTACACTCAGGGACATATAGTTCTAGATTTTTAATTTCTGTAAGAAATATATTCACAGAAGAAATGCTGATTAATAGTATGCAGAAATTTGTTTCTTTTACTTTGTTTATATTTCTGTGTAAGAGGAAGCAGTAAGCTTTTTTTCTCTATTCTAAAACGAAAATGGCGTGAAAGAAAACACTTTTTTGTTGAGCTTTTGGCATGCAAGAATCTTAACAGGTGTCTGAAGATTTTTCCTGCATATTATTGGGGAAGTCTGCTGTAAAAGGTGTAAAGATGTACAGTTTCTGAATTTTACCCATTTTGTATTTCTAAAGATGTAGCACATTACACTATTCATTAGCACAAATCAATCCCAGCATTAGAAATAGAATACAAATTAAATTATATTAATGTGATAAATGATGATCTGAAGGAAAAGTGGTCAAGATATTTCAAGATGTCCCTATGTACTTGTCATATTTCATACTCAAAATTATTCAATAAATTTCCTGCTAGCCACTTCTCATGAAGTGAGTGTAGATGAAATTAAGGTCTCTATGATCCTTTAAAATCCAGTAATATATCTTACTGAGATGGTCAAATAGATAGGACTTAAGACATAAATACCATCCAACCAATTTGGTACTTTTTTAAAAAGAGATTATATAACAAATATGTCAATTTTCTGCTAATTATTACAGATGTTTTCTTTGTGGTACAGCTAGATATTAGATGTCACATTGGAGCTGTTGTATCTACAAAACTGCACTATTGCTTCATATTATAGATTTCTAGGAAATGTGTTCAGTAATTCTGGGATTATTCTGGCTTCACTGCCACCCTGGGTGGGATGAAGTGGTTTTCAAGAAATGAGGCAAATTAGTTGCTTCTAATCTCACCTGTTTGCATCTGAAGTATTCTTATGATAAGGCATTAGGTTTGTTATGACTACAGGTCTCTGTACCTGTTGGTCTATAATGCCATTTATTAGGCTTTTTCTGTCTGTTAATGACAAGGTCTTGAAAACTTAATGTGCATGGTAGAGCGGTCACCTGCACACACTTGTCAGAACCAGAGTAAACAAGCCAGCGGTTCTTTTCCACCGATTGGATGAAAACTTTTTCTTAACCTAATACCACTAATATTGTCAGTTGGAATATGACTCATGGAAGGTTATAAGGGTGGCATGTGAAGTGAGGTGTTCCAGTCACAAACAGTAACTGGTACAAACTGCTTCAAAGAAGTAATAGGGAAGGAGGAACAAAAGGCAGGTTTTACATTAGAGCGCCAGAGATGTAGGAGTGTGTATAGAGCTTAACCACACCCACAGCGCCAGACAAGTTTCTACAACATATAGTAGGGCGTCTCTTGAGAGTGGAATGTATCTGAGTGATTGATGCCTGGGGGTTTTGGCTTTATGCCAGCCACTAGTTATATTTCATAACAAAGTGAATATATGTATTTGTCACGCACAAGCATTTCACTACCCACTTCAACTACATATGAAGACTATTTGGGCTGATCATCAAGCTATACTAACGTCACAATACGGGTTGGCCACTACTTGGTTGTTGACTTATAGACCTAATGACTGCATATACCCAGGAATCCAAACATTACAAAATATTACCTTTTTTTGAGGTTCAATACCAGTTCATTTGGGAAGAAATGTGTTGTTGCGGTTTGCCCTTAGGAAAATTTAAACTTGACTTAGATTTATTTCCGTAATTAAGCTCTTCTTTTTAAGAGTAAAAGGGATCATAAACAGTGTGTTAATTTACAAATGAAAGCACCATTAAATATAAGATGTGGAATAGTGATGTACCACAAAAAAAATACGCCAAGACTTACTGTTCATTGATAAATAAAAAGAAAATATATGCTGATCTCTGTTCACAATGGGGTATGAATTAGAATCTAAATATAATATTCTCCTTTAAAATATCTGTGCATTTCAAACAGTGGCATAGCCCGGATCTTTAAAATGCTGTGGTCAAAAATGTTTGGGGGGGGGGGGGTGTTTGGGGGCATGGTCCTCCCAAAAAATCTTAAGACTACAGTGTAAATAATGGATTTTTAACTGGTGTTTATGCTTCAATGCAACTTAATTACACTGACATTTGATCGCTTGGTTAGCTTTGTTCTCAGCGTATCATTGAATAAAATACCTTGCTGTCCTCAGTGGTGAAAATGGACATGATGGCAGAACATTTTCAATACTCACTATTCAAATTGAATCATAATCAACATTTATCATTTCCTTTTCATAATTTTTCATGATTTTAACGTCAAGATTTGTATTATATTTCTAGACAAATATGAAGTTAACCAAAATTTTTATATCCTGCCTGCGACAAAAAAAAAACCAGACTGTTCACCTACAGTAATTACTAAGCCAAAGAGCAGAAATTCCATCACCACTCCATAATCAGTTCCTATCATGTTCGTTTTGGAGCCTGAACATGTTTGTGCTTGTATTTTTTCAGCTAAAAGCAGCTCTAACTCTCTTTACATGATCCTTGACATGCCTTTCTTGTGCAGATTTTCTCTCAGACATGCACACACAAGTTCCACATCTGCTTTGGTCAGAGTACCTTCCTCGATAATCTACTCTCCCGTACACCGCATGTATCTGAGCAGGGGCCCATTTCTTGATGTCGTTTGATTAACCTGTTCATTCGTCATTGATTTTTGTACCTCACCTGTTAGTTCAGGACACCTGTTATTTAATGGGTGTGAGCTAAGAGAATAAATAACTCAATGTTATTATGCTCTCCCACTGAGAACTTCACCACACCCTCTATCCTGACATTAGATGTTCACCCTTTTCACTGTTTTATTAATTTCTGCATGTTAGAAAGTACTGTAATTGTAGGAAAATAGCATACCAATTTTCAATTGGAGGGTTGCAGATGTGTCATTTAATAAACATCTGACTAATGGGATTTGCCACATACAATACCATGTCTTAAAATTCTTGTGTAATTGTACTTTTACATGTTGGTGCGATATATCAATAGCTGATAACCATCGTTTTCAGTATATTTAGATATGTACTATCTGTGATGGCTTCAGCATCAAGTTTATTCAAGTGCTTACAGAAAAGAACACATGGCTTGCACATGAAGCTTTCCAAGAGCTGTCATCCAACAGTGGCTGAGTTTTATTATCTGCCAGAAAAAATACTGAACAACCTGTGCCCAAGAATCTATCTACCACAATCTGGATTCTTTTAGGAGCTTGTGTAGATGGTGAGCTAAACAGAGAACAGGCAGTTGAGTAATTGCAGCTGTTTGTAAGAACACGGAAAAGCTGAAATTGCTTTTTAGACAACAAATTCTGGAGCCTATGAATTATACACTATGACACTGTTATGTGGGCAGACGTTGCACAACTGTTGAAGTATATTGTAAAGGGTCCTCCATCCAGGGCATGGAATAGACTGTGTATGTTGCCGTATTTCAAGGTCCACTGTCCAGGCTACGTTCTCAGAACTGTAGGGAAATGACAATTTCGAACATCACCACAATATTTTAAATGTCGAAAAAGTATTCTTGTCTATTTAAAACAAAGTGTTCTATTTGAATATTCCATTCTGAAAATAAGAGCTGGGGCCATTTCACAGGTGTTGTGTTTTGGGAAGGGTTGAATAACTGAAGTAAATAATAAGAAACACATTGCATAGAATTGAGTCTGTCACAATAATAGGAAATGGAAAACCAGCAAGGAAGAAAACAAACTAGAATATTCACCTCATGCTCAAAGTCGTCTCCTTCGGGCCAAGTTCAGACAAAGTCCGACAACTGGATTAAACTGGTGTGAGGGGAGAGGTGTAGTCATTGAGAATGGAAAAATGAATCATAGAAATGCTTCGGACAATTGGCATCTTTGTAAATGATAATTTGTCAATGAAAGCTAAATTAAAATTGATTAATTTTAGACATGAAATGCGGTGTGCCACTAAAACAATACAATTCAGTGATAAGTAAAAAGAAAAAAGGAAGAGAAAACGGAAGCGGGGAATATGACTTTTATTACTATTATTATCATTTCCAAACAAATATGAAAACAGCAAGACTACTTACTTAATTTTTATTTTATTTTTTTGGTGGGGGGGGGGGCTACAGTATGAACCATAATACTCTGAAAAAATAAAATATAAATAAAACTGAATTTGCTACAAACTAATAACTCTATTTTTCATGTTAAATTCATTACATAATAATTATCCATTGATTCCCTTTACAACATAGAATATAAGTAATTACCATGCTATTAAGCTTACCATTTTGCAAAGCAAAAATAAAATATACAGATTTAATATTAAAGTCGATTGGATCAAAAACTAATTTCTTCTATGATATTCATAAATTAGTGACCATGCATACCAGTCCAACAGGTTAAGACAACTTCCAGAAAGTGATGATATTATTTGGTCTAAAAAAAAAAAAAACCTATTGACTAATGGAAAAAAAAAGTCATGTGGTGACAAGTTGAATTCCAACTCATGCATAACATGGATAAGAACCACTGAAACTGGTGACGGTCATTATCTCAAAAAGGAAGAATCTGAGAAGGCGCAATTGTAATATATCCTATGGCTCTCTCAAAACAAGAAAATCTGGCTGTGTCTGGCAATGTCGCCTGTTTCAGTTGG